TTTTTTTTTTTTTTTTTTTTTTTTTTGGCCTGTACCAGGATTGAATCCAGGGAGAATCAACCACTAGTCACATCCACAGCTCCTTTTTATTTTTTATTTTGAGACAAGGCCTTGCTAAGTTGCTGAGGCTGGCTTTTGAACTTGCAATCCTCCTGCCTCAGCCTTCCATACCCCTGGGATTACAAATGTATGGAACACCTTTTCTACTTTTTCTTTATAATTGTGGTAAATACACATAACATTAAATTTATCTTCTTAACCATTTTTAGTGTACTGTAGAGTCTTATTAAGAATATCACATAGTTGTTGTCTGTCTTACCTTATTTATCTTTCAAGATCCTATTATCATCCCTTCCAGCAAGCTTTCCCTGAACTTCCTGGTTGGTTTAAAAGTGCTCCTATTCTACTTATTAGCATAAAGATTACATGTCATATATTTACTGACAGTTTTTTTCTCCATACTATAAGCTCCCTGAGGGCAGAATCTTAGTCTTAACTTCATCTTTGTGATTCAGTGTCTGGCCCATATTAGGTTCTTAACAATATTTACTAAACTGAATTATCAAGGTGCCAGGAAAAAAATTGAAGAAGAGATTATCTGTGAAAGCCTATTATTTATTATTCATTTATACGCACACACACACACACACACACACACACACACACACCAAAGGTTCTTATATTTGTCAGACACTCATAAACACTGGGATTCAGCAATGAACTATGTTATCTGTCCAAACCATACAGGAGAACAGGAGAATGAGAAAGGGGCAAAGAGGAGAAATATGAGGAGAAAAAGAAAAGCAATTTAAAAAGAAGGGGAATTATGAAGGAGGAGGAGAGTAAGATGCAATGAGGAAAGTGGCCAAAAAAGCATGGGAGAAATTAGGAGAGAAGGTGACAACTCCAGAAGTGGTCAAGAGGAGAAAGGACACACTGGGGCAAAGGAAAATGGGGAGCTGTTTAATGGGCACAGGGTTTTAGGTTAGCAAGAGGAAAAATTCTGGAGAGTGGTCCCACAACAATGTATTTACTGGGCTACATTTAAAAATGGTTAAGATCGGCTGGGGATGTAGCTCAGAAGCAGTGTACTTGCTTAGCATGTATGAGGCCCTGGGTTCAATCCCCAGGACCATGACAATCAAAAAAAAAAAAAAAAAAGCCAAGATGGTCAATTTCATGTTATATGCCCTGTACTAAAATAAAAAAAGAATAAAATCTCATAACTGGGGTGATATTGATGGAGCAAAAGTAGTGAAATAAAATATTAAAATTAACAATAACATAAGAAAAAATAATTAAGAATAAATTTAACAAAAATTTCAAGAATTCTACATGCAAGATTAAAAGATATTTCTGTAAAATATTAAAGACCTGGAATGGGGGTGTAGCTCAGTGGCAGAACAAGTGCTTAGCATTTTTAAGGCCCTGGGYTCAATCCCCAGCACCACAAAATAAATAAATAAAGACAAAAAGAAAAAAAAAGGAATGGAGAAATATGCAACGTTCATGGATCAGAAACCTCAATGGTTTTGTCAGTTCTTCCACAATTGATCCGCAGATTCAATACAATCTCAATCCAAACAGAAGAAAGTTATTTTATATAATCTGATAAGCAAAAGACCTAGACTAGCCAAAACAACTTAGAAAGAGGACCCAGCTGGAATTTCAAGACTTACTGTAAAAATACTACCATCAAGACAATGAAGTACTGAAATAAAGATGGACATTTAGAATAGTAAAATATAAGGAGTCAGAAATAAACCCACACAAGGTCAACTGACTTTTTAAAAAAATATTTTGTTTATTTAGTTGTACCTGGACACAATACCTTTATTTTTATTTTAATGTGGTGCTGAGGATCGAACCAGGGCCTTGCTCACACTAGATGAGTGCTCTACCACTGAGCCACAATTCCAACCCTCAACTGACTTTTGGTACCAACGAGCCCCATGTGGAAAGGATAATATTTATTAAATGGTGCTTGAATATATATTTCAAATATATACTACCTGCCAAATGAAACAGACAGTAGACCTAAATATAAGAGTTTAAAACTCTGAACTTTCTAGGAAAAAATTCAGGGATCTTGGTATAAACAAAGATTCCTTAAATAGAACAAACTAAAAAATGATCTCACCAAAATTTAAAACGTTTGCTCTTCCAAATACACTATTTAAAAATAAAAATAAAAAGCTGGGCTGGGGCTGTGACTCAGTGGTAAAGTGCTTGCCAAGCATGCATGAGGCATGTTGCTGGGATTACAGGTGTGCGCTATCATATCTGGCTCCAATTTTTTTAACGGGCAAAGAATTTAAAGATATTTCAAATAAGAAAATAGATGGATGGAAAATAACTAATGAAAAGACAATATCATTGGTCATTAGAGATATGCAAATTAAAATCACAATGAGACACCATTAAATACCTAATAGAAAGGTTAACACTGACAAAACTGACAATATTAAATAATGTTGATCCAGGATGTAAAGTAACTGGAAATTTTAAACATTGTTGACAGGACTGCACAATGATTCAGCTACTTTGGAAAATATTTTGACAGTATCTTCATCAACAGGTTAAGTGGATAAACAAACTGTGGGATGTCCATAAAAATCAATATTACTCAAAATGCACTTGCAACAACATAGATGAATCTCAGAAGCATTATGTTAAGTGAAAGAAGACAGACACAAAAGACAACATACTGTGTGATTACCCTTATCTAAAAGTCTAGAAAAAGCAAAATATGCTGACGGCAATTCAGTGATATCAGAGGCCAGGGTATGGAGTCTGCAGATTGCAAAGGGGCAGAAGGAAAYATTTTTGGAGTGATGGAAACTTTCTGTATCATATACATTGATAAGAACTCAGAGAAATGTACACTATATAGGTGGTAATTTTTTTTCCTCTTTGGCAGTTCTGGGGATGGAACCTAGGGCCTTGTGCTACTAGCAAGGCTCTACCATCGAGTTACATCCCCTGTCCAAAAGTTGGTAATTGAATAAAATTATACTCAATAAAACTGATTAAAATAAATCAGCAAAGATGCAAACTGGCCATTAATAAAAGAAAATTCAAATAACAGGTGAAAAATTCCATCTTACTATTAATCAAGAAGTGAACTCCCCCAGGTTGGGAATATAGCTCAGTTGGTAGTTGGTAGAGTGCTTGCCTCTCATGCACAATGCCCTGAATTCAATCCCAACACTTCCCCCCAAAAGTAAAAAAAAAAGTAAACTCCTATAATTTTTCAATCATGAAACTGATTAAAAATCATTACAATATCCAGTGGAAAATACCTGAAAATGGGCATTCTTATAGTACACTGCTGGTGGAACAGTATGAAAGTAAAACTTTTCTGAGAACATAGAAATTTAATTCAAAAGCCTTAAAAATCTTCAAATCTTTTGCATAAGCAATTTGAATTGTAACAATTTACAATTTCATCAGGAAGGTTCAAAAACACCATAAACAAACATGTGTACATGGTACTATCTAGAGAAACTGATTAAATTATGATTCTTTTATAGTATAGAATATTACYCAGCCATTTAAATTGCATTTGTATACATACAAAAAAAGTATTTTCTGGTTTTAAGAAGTAAACAATACTTTCTACATAATTACCATTAAAAGACCTTTACTGACAAACAATAAGCCTAGGACTTCAGATAAGTATGTCTGACATATAGACAATGCCAACCACAATATTTACCAAACACTGGTGTTATTCTATACCTTTATATCACCATCAATTTTTTCCCATTCTTCTTCTGTAAAACTGGATGCTGTTGCTGCAGGCTTATCTTTCCTCAAAGCTCTGCTTTTAGGAGCCAAGCCTTTAAGGCGCTTTTCACAAAATTCTGTAAGTTCAGGATAATATCCTTCCTCACCAGACCTTTAAAAATATTTATAATTTTAGAGTTAGTCTTTATTTAAAGATTCTCTAGACAAGTGGTTTTCAAACTGGGTTCTGTGGAGCCCACATGTTCTGCAGAGATCTCAGGAGCTGCACAAGGCTGAAGACTGGTCTGCTATCTCAACCAGTAAAAACTCCCATTTTTATTTGTTGATCTTCAGAGTGACTTAGAGAGGAAAAAAGGAACTCTAAAGAAACCCAATTCCATCACACACTTTGTAAGCTGAATAAATAACATTTTCTTCCCTAATTTAACACACATGTTCATTTTGTATAGGAAGCAATTTTAAACATACACGTAAATTCAATACTAGAGACAAGCAGAGAAAGAATGTGGGCTATTCACAGAATTTCTTAGAACTAACATTACAATTGTAGCTTTCAAATTCCCTCATCTCATAAGTTTCTTATTGTCTTATTTGCTCAAATATTTATATTTATATTTAGGCAAATATGACAATATTCTACCTAGAAAAAACAAAAGGGAAAACAATATGATTTTTCATCTTTTTTACTTAAAAAAATGATAAGGTTATTACATCAACTCTGACAGGGAGGACAGGAAGCTAAAGGTGAAGAAGGAGGAAAAGGAACAAACAGTGAAGGACGAGAGTCAGAGGCAAGAAATACAAGAACCACTGTAGAGCCATAAGAATACTACTGACTCCTGAACAGGAGGTTTCATGCTCCACAGGTACCTTCTGCAACAGAGCTCTGCTCGCCAAATGAAAACACCTCAAGAAATTCAAAATAGGTGTCCCAGGTTCGTACTCCACAGGGCAGTGTTTCTAGAAGTGGGTTCCTTGACCACTGCCTTACAATCAATCCACTCACTTATTTCTGTGTTCCACCCCTGATTTCCTAAAGCAAAATTTTTGGGAACAAGACCCTCAAACTTATAATTTTTAACAACCACATGTATGTATATTAAAATTTGATAAATCATCTATTCTAGGAAGACCATAACTCTGTTTTCTGATCTCACCTTTGGACCTCCCCACCATCCTCAGCTTACAGTGAGTCACCTTCCTTTGCTGTCAGAGAACAGAAGTGGAAAGTACCAAGTGTCAGCGGCGGCTGGTGAGACAACTTACCTCCTAATGGCTACTCTCACAACTGCCTTACCTTTCCCTAGTAGATGTGGAGGAAGCAAGAAAAATGCCCCCTTGGATACTAATTAGCCTAAGTCTCATGCTATAAGTAGACCTCACCGGAACCCTCCAAACTAACCAAAGGGTCAAAATCACTATTTTGGAAACCACCATAGGCAAAAACAATYATCTCAATATTTGAAAACTTTCCTCAATATTTTTATTGTTGCTTTGACTTTTAGAAGGCCACAACATAGTTAAAACTGGCATAATAAAGCATGATATGGTTTTTAAATGCTTACCTGAGCACACAAAGAATTTTTTCCAGGTATTTAACATCTGAACATTTTTCAATATATTTGAAATCCAAATGTTCAATGGGAATTTTAAATGTTTTCGTTGTTCCAAAGCCCCACAATGACGGATAATCTTTGGCAGTCATGGCTAAAATATAGCATAGGAAAACAAATGTGAACCTAACATATGTAATAATGCTCAATTTGGATAGTAGTAACCATCTGGACACTCCGAGAGAAAAGGGCACTGGGCCACTGAGCCACATCCCTGCCCTATTTTGTGTTTTAATTTATTTAGAGACAGGGTCTCACAGAGTTGCTTAGCCCCTCACTTTTGCTGAGGCTGGCTTTGAACTTTCGATCYTCCTGCCTCTGTCTCCTGAGCTGCTGGGATTATAGGCATTCACCACCAAAGCCAGTAGAGGTGGAATGTTTTTTCCAAAGAGGAAGGTTACTCATTTTGAATTCTCTCTTCTTATAACAATAGCTAATATTTACAGAGCCAGATTACTATGTGCCATACATGGATTCTCTCATTTTGTCTTAAGTAAAGCTAGGACACAATGACAAAGCAGATGTTGGTGCTCAAAGTAAATACTGTTTGTTAACATCCCAATCATCGTTTGTGACTCATAAATAATATCCTTTCTGTAGTTTCTTTTCCTTTCCATTCCTTTCCTCTACATTCTCCACCACTACCACCCACTCCTGTCAATAAACAGCTCCCAGCATTGTGATCTAAAATACTCTTTACATTACTCTTACAGAACATTGCACATAGTTTAATTATGTTTCTTTATCTTCTCGCCCAAATTGTAAGGGAGCTTACCCATCCTCATAGCTTTAGGACTAATACAAGTAGTGCTGTATACACCTTAAGAAAGACTTTCTGAATTGAATTGGAAATAAGGAGTTCTTGGACACTTTCACTGATAATAGTGCTGCTATTATAGTGTTGCTAAAATAGCAACAAGTATTTAGTTCCTTTTTATATACTTTTATTTCATTTTTATGTGGTGTTGAGGATGGAAACCAGAGCCTCACACATACCAGGCAAGCACTCTACCAACTGATCTACAATCCCAGCCCAAATACTTAGTTCTTAATGTGTTGGGCAACATGCTAAGTATATGGACATGTTCTACATATATTACCTTATYTAGTCCTTCAACTACTATGTCAGGTAGGTTTGAAGTAAAGAGCAATAATAACAGTTAACATTTATGGGGTTAAATTACCATGTACCCTAGATTATCTTAATCTTCGAAATTACTCTTATGATGGATGATAATAACTACTCCCAGAGCTGGGGATGTGACAGCTCAATGGTTGTGTTTGCCCAGCCTGTGTGAAGGCCCAGATTTAATCCCCAAAACTACCAAGAATAAATAATAATAATAATTGCTCCCCTTTTACAGATAAACAAGTTGACAAGTGAACTGAGGATATGAATCYGAGTAGGTTAACTACTGAGCCCACATACCATCCTATTAGTGCTTTTCAAATTGCAGGTGTCAACTCATGAAATTAATGAGTAATAATCAGTATTGATACATGAGATAGAATTGAATTTTTAAAAGTACTACCTGGACTACAACATTTAAGTATTGTTTTATAAAAATTTTTATTTCATATCTATGAAATGAAAATTATGTGCACATATAAATGCATATGGTTGCAAARCAAAATATATTAGAGGTCACTTTTTTAAAAAACCACTGCACTAAAACCTACTGAGTGACCATTTTAAAAACAAGTAGTTTTAATTTATATAAGTATTTCTTTCAGTGTGACTTCCCTCTGGGTCTTACATGCTTTTTCAATTTTTTTCTATAGGATACATGTTCTCAAGATTACTAAATGTTCTCAAGTTCTGAAAAGCATGATACTTTATTTGCTCTTAAGAACTTGCACATTTTTGCAGTCTTTGTCTTCGATTAGGAAAATCTTTGGTCCTAGCTGGATTCAATTTCTTCTTCGTCGTTATGACCCACATCCACTTTCCACATTTCCTCATGAGTTTATGTGTAATACCTCCAGCTCAAACAACTATGGATTGGTGGTAACCCTAGCAACGCGAAAACCTGGGCATCTTCCACCGAGGCACAGTCTTTTCAGCCTTCACCAGGCTGAGCGCCCCCTGCAGCCGGCGACCAAAAGTAAACGGCATCCTCCAGCCATGACAACGGTTTCTATGTACTCGCCACAGGAGGCACAGCCGGATTAGGGGCTGGTCCTGGAGCTCTACAACCTGCAAACCCTCTGAAGTTGCCGTCTAGCCCCTGGCTTTGACCATCAGGGTTGAAGTGCCTGGCCAACTCCAGGAACTCCCGACCTGAGATCCCGACCCAACATCCCTCATCACGCTTGGTGACCTGGAAAGCTCGGGTTTGTTTCCCCCTACCAGGAAGGACGTTCATCTCTCCTCACGCTCCTTACTCCAGTGCGAGGGGGAATTTCATTCTCTGCCGCTCCCGGAGGAAGGGCTGTAATAAGATGTACGTTATTCCTGATGGGCAGGTACTCACCAGCATTCAACCGGGTTTCAGATCCAGCACTTTGCGGCGGACACTGCAGCCACGCCAAGCCAGAGATACAAAAGGGGCGTGTAGCTGGCGCCCGGACCCAACGGCGAGAGGCGAGGGGCGGGCGGTCGGCAGGACCTCTGCAGTATGATTGGCTGCCCTGCACCTGCCATCCAGACGATTGGCCTTACAGCTCCCAGCTTCATACCCCTCATGGGGAAAAGGACCATTAGAGCTCAAGTTGAAATGTGAAGTTACTTCCCCACCTCCTTTGAGTTAAAACGCTGTTACCGCTGTTATCCTGGACTACTATACTCCTACGTTAAATCGGTATCTACTACAAATAAAAGTAGCTGATTGTGGGACATGCTTTGAAGTTGAGTAATAGAACATATTGATGGATTGGATAGTAAAGACCTCAGTAAGGGAAATTAAAACGTAACTAAAAATTTAGAGTCTGCATTGCAACCTATTATATCCTCTCTTTTAAAGAATAAATGAAAGACTAGATTCCCTTTTCATGCATTTCACATTTTCTGAGTGCCGGCTGAGTCGGGCACCGAGCGCTGGTATACAAAGGTTATTAAGACTTAATATGATTCATATTAATAAAACAATAGAAATCGCGTGGAGAAATGTGTTAAAAAATAAAATTCAGACTAGTTAAAATGGCTGGAAAATGTACAATGTGTAGCATATTACAGAAATTAAAAAATCTTTTTCCTTTTGCACTTAAAGACATAGCAGAGACTGTTAGTGGTAAAAATCCTAATACTAAATCTTTGATTTTTTTAATTGTTTCCATTAGTAGTGCTGGAGAATCTTAAATTTGCATGTTTATAGACATAGCTTCCAACTTTACAATAATTTGCAGGCTGATTTATTAAATTATTTGTCATGAACACATCACATGTTCCAGGTCCTGTGAAGTCATTTCATACCTCACTCCAGCCAGCAAAATCATTCCACATTATGCCCTAAAATCAGCACAGTGGTACACACTTGTAATCCCAGACTTTGGAGGCAGGAGGATTGCRAGTTCAAAGTCAGCCTCAGCAACTTASAGAGACCCTGTCTCAAAAAATAAAAAGAAGCAGGGATGTAGCTTAGTGGTTAAGTGCCCCTGGGTTCAATCTCTGGTACCAAAACCAAAAAACAAATGAAACAAAAAATTATGTCCTAAGTCTTACTCAGCCCACTGCAACTTCACATCATTGTATTTCCAGCAGAGGAAAAAAAAATTCCTTTTAAGATTTGAGGAATGGTTTTAATTCACATGCCTTCTAATTTTCTTTTCATTCATATTTAATGTTTTCTTCTGGTTATAATTATGTACAGATGCATGCTGAGTAAGCAAGCAACTTAAAGGAAATGGACTAGGTAAGAAAATGAAAATTACCATTACAATCTTTAGAGATTAAAATATTATATCCAAGAAACAAGGAGACAGATATGCCTGATATAGCCAGCCAACAGGGTAGTATGAGTATTTGTACCCAAAGCCTTACACAAATTCCCTTACTGAGGTCTTTACTATCCAATCCATCAATATGTTCTATTACTCAACTTCAAAGCATGTCCCACAATCAGCTACTTCTCACTCCCCACAGCTAACACCCTAGCCCAGTTTTCTTCGATGCCAAATGTCCTAATGTAGTCCATTCTCACAACAGCATGTATAATTTTTAAAAATATTTTTTTATTTGTAGTTGAACACAATATCTTTGTTTTATTTTTATGTGGTGCAAGGCGAGTGCTCACCTCTGAGCTACAACCCCAGCCCAAGCATGTATAATTTTTTAAGTCTCGTGTCACTCTTCTGCTTGCTGTCCGAGCGGATTCCTATCA